ATATAGGCACCCACGACTCTCTACCTGAACCAACTTCTGATAAAAAGCAGACAATTTTTTTGTGTGTAGACGTGGTATTGTGGTAAGCGGCACCGCGTACGAGGCTCAGTTTGGCTTGGTGGTTTGGGTAGGGGGGGGGAGCACGGAATGACCCCCAGCTAAGTTGATCCAGGCCTTTGAAGACCTGTGAACTCCTGTAACTGGAAAGGTCTATTCGCAGCCTCAAAAGAACTCACAGCGCCAAGGTTAGGCTTGTTATTTAACAGAAATGACAATAGGAACTAGCGAAAGTGCACAATGCCCTCTCCAAGATGAGTAGCGTTGACTACGATACGCGTGGCTCGTGTGATTTTTGCATTAATCTCCATCGAATTTGTATCGGGCCAACCTGCCACCCTTCCAAGGTGTAAGAATCGTCTGAAAAGAAATCCTACAGGCCTGTACATACGATTCCCCCCGCTAGTAACCGTATAGCCTTAACTGAATTCAATGCCATTAAATTTCTGCGAGTTCGAACTGAAGACACGCCCCGCGACCATTCAATGCGCAGACGCCCTTATTGACATGGTAATCCTGTCCGCAAGCATAAAGAATCTACTGCTTTCACAGCTCAGAAATGCGTGAGAGTGTGACCCACTCCCCGTACTCGCGATCGTCACAGGTCCACCGCCCCGCCTACTAGCCACGCAACACCCAACTTTCATTTCTATGGGCATACTGATGTTGCAGTTTTCCACTACCAACTCTAAATGACCAGAGTGAGGCGATAAGGAGAAAGAGCTGATACAAAAAATGAGAGCTCGCCCGACCACGCCCTCTCTTTGCCTTGTATGTACATCTGCAAGCGCAGTTCAGTATGGGGTCCTGAATGGGGAGTTAAGGCGGATTTTCGTGCCTTTCTTCAGTATTACATTAATTTCCACCCTCCCGTTGGTAATTGAGCCGCTCATTTCAACATTTTTGAACCCGGGGCGTACCTCTAACGCGATATGCGCGGTACATTCCAGTAAGGCACTTATCATCAAAAGTTGTTAGTTTTTATCCTGCGTTGTAAGGAATAGTAGTAGGAAGTTGCATCAATTTAGCCGCTGCAGGTGCGTTTTGCCCACATACCAGCACCACATCACATCGCGAACAAATGAGTAAACGGAAGGTTAACATTTTCTGACCTCCTTCACAAAGTAGTAGCGATCAGTTTTCGTGAGATCAATCCATAATCCTATTTTCTTGCCTTTTACGGCAGGATGATTGAAAACGTCCTCAGGATGGAAACGAAGTTTCTTCTCGATTTGATCATCGTATAATGAACACAATGGAGTTTTGAACGGAAAGAACAGGCCATCGACCAGCTAAAGATATGCATAATAGAAATTTTAATAAAGCAAATTGTAATAACAAGAACAGCTGGGCGAATGTGAAAAGTTCGAACGAGGTAGCACACATAACATGCGTTCATACTTTGCGTCAGCGTTTCAAACGACTAAGAACGTACAGATCAATTACCGCACCCAAAACTGGCGTTTGCTTGAAAGATAGATCGACTCCTAAACTTTCCTAGTCGCTCGAAAATCCGCCGGACGCTCAAAACGCTGACAGACGCTCAA